GTGTGTGTGTGTGTGTCTGTGTGTGTGTCTTTGTGTGTGTGTGTGTCTCTGTGTGTGTGTGTGTGTGTGTGTGTGTGTGTCTTTGTGTGTGTGTGTGTGTGTCTGTGTGTGTGTGTGTGTGTGTGTGTGTGTGTGTGTGTGTGTCTTTGTGTGTGTGTGTGTCTCTGTGTGTCTCTGTGTGTGTGGTGTGTGTGTGTGTGTGTGTGTGTGTCTGTGTGTGTGTGTGTGTGTGTCTTTGTGTGTGTGTGTGTGTGTGTCTCTGTGTGTGTGTGTGTGTGTGTGTGTCTTTGTGTGTGTGTGTGTGTCTGTGTGTGTGTGTGTGTGTGTGTGTGTGTGTGTGTGTGTGTGTGTCTTTGTGTGTGTGTGTGTGTGTGTGTCTCTGTGTGTGTGTGTGTGTGTCTCTGTGTGTGTGTGTCTTTGTGTGTGTGTGTGTGTCTCTGTGTGTGTGTGTGTGTGTGTGTGTGTGTCTTTGTGTGTGTGTGTGTGTGTGTGTGTGTGTGTGTGTGTGTGTGTGTGTGTCTTTGTGTGTGTGTGTGTGTCTCTGTGTGTGTGTGTGTGTGTGTGTTCAGGTTACACCCAAAGAACGTTCTGGGTGTGCGTCAGTTTGCAGAGACCATGATGTGTACGACGCTCTACGACTCTGCCAACAGTTTCCTCCATCAGCACTTTGTGGACGTCTCTGCGTCCGACGAGTTCCTGAGTCTGAGGACGGAGGAGCTGCTGGAGCTGGTGGGCTGTGACGAGCTCAACATCAAAGCTGAAGAACAGGTGAGGAGCTCACCTGGAGCCCACAAACACACCTGATACAGCTCCCTAGTCTACACATCTATTGTACAGGTGATGTGTTGTACCTGTGCAGGTCTTTGTGTTGTACCTGTGCAGGTGTTTGATGTGTTGTACCTGTGCAGGTGTTTGATGTGTTGTACCTGTGCAGGTGTTTGATGTGTTGTACCTGTGCAGGTGTTTGATGTGTTGTACAGGTGTTTGATGTGTTGTACCTGTACAGGTGTTTGATGTGTTGTACCTGTGCAGGTGTTTGATGTGTTGTACCTGTACAGGTGTTTGATGTGTTGTACCTGTGCAGGTGTTTGATGTGTTGTACCTGTGCAGGTGTTTGATGTGTTGTACCTGTACAGGTGTTTGATGTGTTGTACCTGTGCAGGTGTTTGATGTGTTGTACCTGTGTTTGATGTGTTGTACCTGTACAGGTGTTTGATGTGTTGTACCTGTGCAGGTGTTGGATGTGTTGTACCTGTGTTGGATGTGTTGTACCTGTGCAGGTGTTTGATGTGTTGTACCTGTGTTGGATGTGTTGTACCTGTGCAGGTCTTTGATGTGTTGTACCTGTGTTGGATGTGTTGTACCTGTGCAGGTGTTGGATGTGTTGTACCTGTGTTTGATGTGTTGTACCTGTGCAGGTGTTTGATGTGTTGTACCTGTGCAGGTGTTTGATGTGTTGTACCTGTGCAGGTGTTTGATGTGTTGTACCTGTGTTTGATGTGTTGTACCTGTGCAGGTGTTTGATGTGTTGTACCTGTGCAGGTGTTTGATGTGTTGTACCTGTGCAGGTCTTTGATGTGTTGTACCTGTGCAGGTGTTTGATGTGTTGTACCTGTGTTTGATGTGTTGTACCTGTGCAGGTGTTTGATGTGTTGTACCTGTACAGGTGTTTGATGTGTTGTACCTGTGCAGGTGTTTGATGTGTTGTACCTGTACAGGTGTTTGATGTGTTGTACCTGTGCAGGTGTTTGATGTGTTGTACCTGTGTTTGATGTGTTGTACCTGTACAGGTGTTTGATGTGTTGTACCTGTGCAGGTGTTGGATGTGTTGTACCTGTGTTGGATGTGTTGTACCTGTGCAGGTGTTTGATGTGTTGTACCTGTGTTGGATGTGTTGTACCTGTGCAGGTCTTTGATGTGTTGTACCTGTGTTGGATGTGTTGTACCTGTGCAGGTGTTGGATGTGTTGTACCTGTGTTTGATGTGTTGTACCTGTGCAGGTGTTTGATGTGTTGTACCTGTGCAGGTGTTTGATGTGTTGTACCTGTGCAGGTGTTTGATGTGTTGTACCTGTGTTTGATGTGTTGTACCTGTGCAGGTGTTTGATGTGTTGTACCTGTGCAGGTGTTTGATGTGTTGTACCTGTGCAGGTCTTTGATGTGTTGTACCTGTGCAGGTGTTTGATGTGTTGTACAGGTGTTTGATGTGTTGTACCTGTGCAGGTGTTTGATGTGTTGTACAGGTGTTTGATGTGTTGTACCTGTGCAGGTGTTTGAGGCCGTGCTGTCCTGGGTGCATCATGACCAGGAGCGGAGGGAGTCTCTGCTGCCGGAGCTGCTGTCAAAGATCAGACTTCCTCTGTGTCGGCCTCAGTTCCTGTCAGACCGCGTCCAGCAGGATGAACTCGTACGCTGCTGCCATAAATGCAGGTGTGTGACTGTGCTCAGGTGTAATGTTGTTATAGGTACTTACCTGTGTTTAAATGTTGATGACAGTACAGTTGAACACCTGTTAGAGACTCTGTATGTTTTCAGGGACCTGGTGGATGAAGCCAAAGATTTCCACCTGATGCCTGAGCGTCGCCCTCACCTGCCCGCCTTTAAGACCAGACAGAGGTGCTGCACCTCCATCACAGGACTCATCTACGCTGTGGGAGGACTCAACAGCTCAGGTACTGCTCACCTGTCTGTTCCCACCTGTCCACCAGCGCTTTGAATTACAGCAGCATCTAGTGGACACTGGGGGAACTGCAGCCAGGACAATGTTGTGTTTTCGGCCCTACTTTAATCGTTGACCAATCACAGAAGGTGTTATGTCACTGCTGATATCTGATTGGTACTCAATCATTCTTTTCAACTTTCAGGTGACTCCTTAAACATCGTCGAAGTGTTTGATCCAATTGGGAATTTCTGGGAACGCTGCCAGCCAATGAGGACTGCCCGGAGCAGAGTGGGCGTGGCTGTTGTTAACGGGCTGCTGTATGCGATTGGTGGATATGATGGCCAATCACGTCTCAGCACTGTAGAGGTTTACAACCCTGAGACCGACAGCTGGACACAAGTGTCGAGCATGAACAGCCAGCGCAGGTGAATCCACAGATCAACAGCTGATCATGACTCTGATCAACAGCTGATCAACAGCTGATCAACAGCTGATCATGACTCTGATCAACAGCTGATCAACAGCTGATCATGACTCTGATCAACAGCTGATCATGACTCTGATCAACAGCTGATCAACAGCTGATCATGACTCTGATCATGACTCTGATCAACAGCTGATCATGACTCTGATCAACAGCTGATCATGACTCTGATCAACAGCTGATCATGACTCTGATCAACAGCTGATCAATACACCGATCATTCCTCTGGAAACCTCTGTGTGTGTTTCTGTCCTCAGCGCCATGGGAACACTTGTGATTGACGGTCACATCTACGTGTGCGGCGGCTATGATGGAAAGTCCTCTCTGAACTCTGTGGAGTGTTACTCGCCAGAGACCGACAGGTGAGTCACCTGTTAGCTCCACCCCCCTGTGTGTGTGTGTCTGTGTGTCTGTGTGTGTGTGTGTGTCTGTGTGTGTCTGTGTGTGTGTCTGTGTGTGTGTGTGTGTGTGTGTGTGTGTCTATGTCTGTGTGTGTGTGTGTGTGTCTGTGTCTGTGTGTGTGTGTGTGTGTGTGTGTGTCTGTGTGTGTGTGTGTGTGTGTGTGTGTGTGTGTGTCTGTGTGTCTGTGTCTGTGTGTGTGTGTGTGTCTGTGTCTGTGTGTGTGTGTGTGTGTGTGTGTGTGTGTGTCTGTCTGTCTGTGTGTGTGTGTGTCTGTGTGTCTGTGTGTGTGTGTGTGTGTGTCTGTGTGTGTCTGTGTGTGTGTGTGTGTGTGTGTGTGTGTGTGTGTGTGTGTGTGTCTATGTCTGTGTGTGTCTATGTGTGTCTATGTCTGTGTGTGTGTGTGTGTGTCTGTGTGTCTGTGTGTGTGTGTGTGTGTGTGTGTGTGTGTGTGTCTGTGTCTGTGTGTGTGTGTGTGTGTGTGTCTGTGTGTGTGTGTGTGTGTGTGTGTGTGTGTCTGTCTGTCTGTGTGTGTGTGTGTCTGTGTGTCTGTGTGTGTGTGTGTGTGTGTGTCTGTGTCTGTGTGTGTGTGTGTGTGTGTGTGTCTGTGTGTCTGTGTCTGTGTCTGTGTGTGTGTGTGTGTGTCTGTGTGTGTGTGTGTGTGTGTGTGTGTGTGTCTGTCTGTGTGTGTGTGTGTGTGTGTGTGTGTGTGTGTGTGTCTGTGTGTGTGTGTGTGTGTGTGTCTGTGTGTGTGTGTGTGTGTGTGTCTGTGTGTGTGTGTGTGTGTGTGTGTCTGTGTGTGTGCGTGTTTAAGTTCTGATTGTCAAACAGTCGTTAGATGTTTTCATATTTAACATTCAGAGAAGATTTGATTTACAATATGAATCGTCTTCTTTTGGCGCTGGGTAAAACGCTGAGTGATTTTAGTAAATAATGGAATTGCGATTTAAAATGTGATTATTTTCTTTTGGTTCTTTATCTCTTTTTGTATTTTCAACAGACACAAGCAATACATCTTTCTACTTTAAACTCTTTATATGTGATGTTTTGATCCAGCAGATGTCGCCCTTGAGCACCAGCATGAACCAAAACAACTGGCGCTGCATTGTTGTGTTAGCATGCTAATGCTAGCGATCTTTATTATGCTGGTATCTTCACACTGCATGTAAATTGACCTGAAATGAGCGTGATCTAGAAACACAGTTAAGCAGTGAGTACAGTATGTTATTCTTCTTTTCTCTAGTCCCTCAATTAAACAACTTTTATACACGAGGGGAGGAGTCAGCCGGCCGTCCTGGCGATGTAAACAAAGTGAAGATAGGACTCTGAAAACTCTGAAAACATCACAGACAGTGGGACTCGGGTGTTACACCCATTGTAGACAGTCATGACTCACAGAGTTATTTTCAGAGGAGAAACTTGATTTCTATAGAACAAAGTGAATATCAGAGAGAAACAGCCCGGCTGATGTTACCTGAAGGACACAAACAGATGAGACTTTGATTTGATGACATGTTTTTATTTACTTCAGTCTCACTTGTATTTTGACTGATGTGTTTCACTTCCAGCCTTGTAAGTATGTAATCGTTGTCATGACAACATCATTTGACTCTAGGGTCCAGGAGTGATGCAACAGCTCAGCTTTGTTCCTGTGTCCCAGCAGCTTCCTGCTCAGTCCTCTGGTCATCTCTGAGGTCATTTCCTGAAAGAAACCAAAAGAGTTTCATTCAAACAAAATGACCTTTAATCCCTGAATTCTGCGTTGGACTGAACATGTCATGTTGAACCTTTGGAGCTCAGTGGGTGTGGTTAACCCTGCTGTGGGTGTGGTTAACCCTGCTGTGGGTGTGGTTAACCCTGCAGTGGGTGTGGTTAACCCTGTTGTGGGTGTGGTTAACCCTGCGGTGGGTGTGGTTAACCCTGCAGTGGGTGTGGTTAACCCTGCGGTGGGTGTGGTTAACCCTGTTGTGGGTGTGGTTAACCCTGCGGTGGGTGTGGTTAACCCTGCTGTGGGTGTCAGAGTGGTCCGTAGAGCTTCCTAACAGTGCTGTCTCCACTTGTCCTTGCTGTGTGTCCCTTTAAACGCTGACAGGTGGACAGTAGTGACCGAGATGAGCGCCAGTCGCAGTGCTGCCGGCGTGACCGTGTTTGATGGACGGATCTTCGTCTCTGGCGGCCATGACGGTTTACAGATCTTCAACACGGTGAGTGAGCACGATCTCCGTGTGATGTTTTAGTAATCTGAGGTGTGACTTGATCCTTAATGCTGTTCCCCTCGTGTCCTCCAGGTGGAGTACTACAACCACCACACTAACCGATGGCACCCGGCAGCCGCCATGATGAACAAGCGCTGTCGTCACGGGGCGGCCGCTCTGGGCAGCCACATGTACGTGGCGGGGGGGTACGACGGCTCAGGGTTCTTGAGTGGGGCGGAAGTGTTCAGCTCGGCGTCGGGTCAGTGGAGCCTCCTGGTGGCCATGAACACACGGCGCAGCAGAGTGTCGCTGGTGTCCACGTCAGGACGTCTGTACGCAGTGGGCGGGTACGATGGACAGTCCAACCTCAGCTCTGTGGAGATGTACAACCCTGACACCAACCGCTGGACCTTCAGGACCCCCATGGTCAGCCATGAAGGGGGGGTGGGGGTGGGGTGTATCCCTCTGCAGCCCGCCTAAACCATCCAATCAGAGACCAAGAACTGATGAGTCACTGACGGCTGCAGGCGGGTCAGCGGCGCCCTCCGCTGGCGTTCACTGAGCTTTATCGGTACGATGGCTGGGCTCAGACCTGCACACTGATGTCAGGCCTGTGGGATTATGGGTAAAAGCGTTAGAGCTAGCCTCTGGAGGTTAGCTGCTAGCATTGTGCTAATTGTTAGCGTGTGGACGGATTGTTTAATTTAGATTTTATACTGAAATGACCAACAGGAAGTCACTTGCTCTCCTGAGCAAACAAAGCTGCTGAAACAGGATGTTGACTCTGATCTGACCTCACTGGGCCGTCTGATTGGTCGGCTCTAACCAATACGAGCGATCAAACGGGCAGGAAGTGATGCTGCACACACAAACAGTGAAAAAGTTTGATCACAGACTTTATTCAAAAGCAAACATGGTTCAATATTCAGCAGCGCCCTCTGCAGGCTGATACGAGCGTCACACTGATGGAAACATCAGCTGCTCTGATTGGTCCTTTATCTGTTTACAGTCTGATCATGTTCACGTGCAGCGCGGCAGCCTCCATTTACACTGAGCTGCTACTGTTAGCTTGTTAGCTGCTGCTGTTAGCCTGATAGCAGCTCATATTAGCAGCTGTTAGCAGCTCATGTTAGCAGCTGTTAGCAGCTCAAGTTAGCAGCTGTTAGCAGCTCATGTTAGCAGCTGTTAGCAGCTCATGTTAGCAGCTGTTAGCAGCTCATGTTAGCAGCACGTGTTAGCAGCACGTGTTAGCAGCACGTGTTAGCAGCTGTTAGCACGTTAGCAGCTGAAGTTAGCAGCTGTTAGCAGCTGTTAGCAGCTGTTAGCAGCTGTTAGCAGCTCATGTTAGCAGCACGTGTTAGCAGCTGTTAGCACGTTAGCAGCTGAAGTTAGCAGCTGTTAGCAGCTGTTAGCAGCTGTTCGCTGAGTAACGGGCATAGATAGCTTTCACTGGATTTAATTTGATTCTGAAGAAAACTTAGGAACATGAAGAGATCGCATCCTGAAGTGATGATGTCACACTGAATGACATCATCACCCTCCTGCAGTGTGTCTCCCCTCTCGGCTGTTTGTCCTGAAGGGGGCGCTGGAGGAGACCTGCTGATGTTGTATTCAGAGATCCTTCTGGAAGCTGATTGATGGTCCTGGTTGTCATGGAGACCATGTTTTCAGAGATGATGAAGGGGGACTGAAAGCTTTGGAAAGTGTTGTTTATTTACAGAAAATAAAAGTCAAATTCATTCAAAGCACTGATGTTATTGAATTGTCCCTCTGCAGCTTCCATACATGTTTATTTTAATTTTCTTGATTAATTTATGAATGATTAATTGTCTACTGAGAGGTTTGTGATCATTAAAGAGGCTCATGTTCCTGGACTGTCTCCTCTTTCTTCACTTTGTCTCCACATTTGAAACTCCAGCAGATCATCACAGACAAACAAAGATCCTCTCTGACCAATCACAGCACAGACACACTGTGATGTCATTAGTGAAACAGATGGTGGAGGTTGTAGAGACCACGAGAAGTAACTCATTCAAACAGCAGTTCACATCAGACATGTTGCTGCAGGAGCTGGGGATCGGACCCTCCACCTTCTGGTCTATAAACCCCTCTGAGCTCTGCCAACATGCCAACCCATATTGAAGCAGGTTGTTGTTGCCATGGTAACTGATGCTGCACATCTCACCTGCTCATGTTAAAATCAGCCTTCTAAATCGCCTGAGAATTGTGCGCAGTGACACTCATTAAGATGTCAGTGCTGATTGGTTAAGACCTCAGACACGCCCCCAAACTACAGGACTCGAAGGTCAGAAGTCATTCACAGACTTCAGAGAGGATCTAAGTTACACAGAGCTGTGGCTCAGTGGTAGAGGTTCGATCCCCAGCTTCTTTCAGACAGGATGTGTTGTGCGGTGCGAGGGCAGGTACACACCCCGGCAGGCTGAGCGCAGCACAAGGTCGAGCTCTCCGCCCACCCGCTGCACAGAAGCTGAAAATGTTCAACTTGAGCGCAGCACTCATCATCTTCGCTGCTCGTCTCCTCCTCAGCAGGAGAAAGGTCAGAGCTTCAATATAATGTAAACAGGTGAGTTCTATTAAAGGCCACGCCCCCTAATTCTACATCCCTTTGAGCTTCAATATAATGTAAACAGGTGAGTTCTATTAAAGGCCACGCCCCCTAATTCTACATCCCTTTGAGCTTCAATATAATGTAAACAGGTGAGTTCTATTAAAGGCCACGCCCCCTAATTCTACATCCCTTTAAGCTTCAATATAATGTAAACAGGTGAGTTGTATAAACATTCAGTCCGTACAGTTGAAGAGAGAAATGAGATCTAGAGACTCAAACTGTTTTCATACCAGGATGTAAACATGTTTATTTTAACATAGAGCTCTATGGGGACTGACTCACTGCAGGAGACAGACTCTAGTGGACACTGGAGGAACTGCAGTTTTTTGCATTTGGTTTTTCATCATCAGAGGTTACCATTTGCTTTACACACACACTCACTGGATCACTGTCCTGGAGGTCCTGGAGCCTCGGTCTTTGAGTCTGGAGCAGCTCCCTCAGACTCCCAGTGCACACCTGGATACCTGCACAGGTGATTTTAATCATGTATCAGAGAGTTTCAAGTGTTAGGCATGAATGTCAGTGTAACTAATATTATAGTGAGTTTATTTAAACACTTCATTATTTACAGACTTTATGAAAAGAGGTCAAAATGACCCCACTCTGAACTTTTCTGTGTTTCTGTATTCACGCTGCTCGCTCCTGTCGTTCGTCGGAAAGTAGTCGAGTCAAACGCCACTTTCTGCTCTCAAAAATCTTTGAACCGCAATGCATGATGGTATATATATTGGTGGAGTAGATGACGTTTTTAGTGTGGATGGCTGCGTTAGCAATGATGTTAGCGATGATGTTAGCATTGTTAGCAATGATATTAGTGATGATGTTAGCGGTGATGTTAGCGGTGATGTTAGCATTGATATTAGTGATGATGTTAGCGATGATGTTAGCATTGATGTTAGTGATGATGCTAGCGATGATGTTAGCATTGATATTAGTGATGATGCTAGCGGTGATGTTAGCATTGTTAGCAATGATATTAGTGATGATGTTAGCGGTGATGTTAGCGGTGATGTTAGCATTGATGTTAGTGATGATGCTAGCGTTAATGTTAGTGATGATGTTAGCGATGATGTTAGCATTGATGTTAGTGATGATGCTAGCGGTGATGTTAGCGATGATGTTAGCGGTGATGTTAGCGGTGATGTTAGCATTGTTAGCAATGATATTAGTGATGATGTTAGCGGTGATGTTAGCGATGATGTTAGCGGTGATGTTAGCGGTGATGTTAGCATTGTTAGCAATGATATTAGTGATGATGTTAGCGATGATGTTAGCGGTGATGTTAGCGGTGATGTTAGCATTGATATTAGTGATGATGTTAGCGATGATGTTAGCGGTGATGCTAGCGATGATGTTAGCGGTGATGCTAGCGATGATGTTAGCATTGATATTAGTGATGATGCTAGCGGTGATGTTAGCATTGTTAGCAATGATATTAGTGATGATGTTAGCGGTGATGTTAGCGGTGATGTTAGCATTGATGTTAGTGATGATGCTAGCGGTGATGTTAGTGATGATGCTAGCGGTGATGTTAGTGATGATGCTAGCGGTGATGTTAGTGATGATGCTAGCGGTGATGTTAGTGATGATGTTAGTGATGTTAGTGATGATGTTAGTGATGTTAGCGGTGATGTTAGTGATGTTAGCGTGATGTTAGTGATGATGTTAGTGATGTTAGTGATGATGTTAGTGATGTTAGCGGTGATGTTAGCAGTGATGTTAGCGGTGATGTTAGTGATGTTAGCGGTGATGTTAGTGATGATGTTAGTGATGTTAGCAGTGATGCTAGCGGTGATGTTAGCATTGTTAGCAATGATATTAGTGATGATGTTAGCGATGATGTTAGCGGTGATGTTAGCGGTGATGTTAGCGTTGATGCTAGCGGTGATGCTAGCGGTGATGCTAGCGGTGATGCTAGCGGTGATGCTAGCGATGATGCTAGCGGTGATGTTAGCGGTGATGCTAGCATTGGTGTTAGCGACGATGCTAGCAGTAGTGTTAGTAAGGTATTGGCGTGCTCACTGGGCTTCGGCAGGCTGGAAGCGTCGCTCTTCTCCGTCCAGGATTCCGTGGTACATGCCGATCTCCTGCTCCAGGCGCTGCTTGTTGCTAAGCAACGTGTCGTAGTCACGGCGCTGCTGTTCAATCTCGCTGCGAACGTCGGCTAGCTCCGCCTCTAGCTTGGCAACAACTGAGCCGAGATTCTGCAGCTCCATGTCGTGCCAGTGACGCGCGTCTCCAAGTGAGTTCTCCAGACCTCGTTTCTATGGAAACACAACACAGCATGACATCATCGACGTCCTTGATCATTGATCAGGTCCTTGAACAGGTGCTGGCTCTCACCAGTGCTCTGATGGATTCGGTCTCAGCCTGCAGACTCTGGATCTTGCAGCCTGTGTCGTTACACTCGGCCTTTAGCGCCTCCACCTGCTCCTCGTCAGGACTCAGCCTGCTGCTCACACACTGCGCCTCCTGGAGAAACACACACACACACACACACACACACACACACACAGCTTAGAGGGACAGTTCAGA